TGCATTTTATTGTGATTGATTGCGATTGTGTCACTTCCCAGTGATGTTACTATGGGACGCTTCTCTTATTGCTAAATAAAAACGTGTCACAGTTTAGTATCTGCCGCACTCTAGCGTGTCAGTTTTGAAGAATGACAATATATACAGTCTGCGAGAACAAGGTCAAAACACTCAATCTTGAAATATATGGAGACACGCACACACACACACGCACACACAAGCAGGCGACATGTAGACACACACAGACTCTCTCTGGACGTAAAATCAGAGGCTGTTTTACGTTAAGTCCCTGGCAGATTGTGCTTAACATTCTCTTTTACAAATGAGGGGTGAAAAAAACAACTAAACATGATGACCAGCCCAAGGAGCTTTAGATTTGTCATCCATCAAACGTAAACCCTTCTGTTCATTCACTCCACTCGTTCGGGCGCGAGGCGGCCCGAAAAGCATGCTAGCTCATTAGCAAGCACATTTCCCTTTTATACGAGCGGCTCCATAATTCATAACGGTCCCGTATGAGACATGAGCCTGATTTGATTTAACGTGCTCAGTTATGCTTGAGTGCTAAACGGCGTTCGACCCCCCTCTTTCCATTCCGGATGGATAGAACAAACAAACAGAAAATGGATGACAAATGAAGACGTAAGCAAAACACTCTGCCACTGACATACGCCAGGTTTCCAGATACTCACACACACACATATGCGGTGAAAAGCAGCGGTGACTACGGCCATATCCAGCACTTACACTCTCTCTCTCTCATTATCCGTGAGGTCAGTAAGCAGAATTGGGAAGAAACGGAGAGATCAATACAAATTATCCCTGAGCAAACCGGCGCTGACAGCCTGAATTGCAGCATATGTTTACCCAAAATCGGGCAATTTATCTTAATATCAGTAAAGTAATGCGGAACAGGTGAAAGGTCACCTACTCTCCCCACCTCATAATTATCCAGCTCTAAAACAGGAAAGTGCTATTGATTGGCCGAGCCCGGGGCTGGGGGGCCGGCTCAAAGGCCAGTGGGAGGGGCTTAGCCTCAGGCCTGGGCTGGAAGATATGAAAAAACGAGAAAAAAAGAGTTTTATAGTACAACGACGTGAGAGTGAAGGAGAAGCGAGATGCTTGCAGGAGTCTGTCTGGATTTAAACTGTTATTGCTCAATCTGTTCTCCATATTTCCCAGCTGGCCCAGTAGCACGAATCCCCCCCACACACACACCAAAACCACATCTGTTTCTTCTTCCATTCATTTCTCTGTCATTTTTATCAATTTTATGTGTTCGGAATTGCAACAGTACTCCCCTTATAATTTTTTTTTTAGCATGGTAACCATAGTTTCCACAAAAACATCATGGCTACTAGAGTTCTTAGTGATGTTTGATATGGGGCTTAAGTGCACCATTTGTGCTACAGACATGAATGACACCTTAAATCGTATATTACTTTACACAAAGTGATCCGGCTTTTGGTTTTCACTTGGTGGGTGATAAAATTGGTGGAAAAAATCCAATAGATTTACATTGAGCTATATCTAGAGATCAGAATATTTTCGGGGTGGACGTTTTATTACTTGGATCAGCAAGTAACCACCTAAAAACCATGCAAAATGTAGATGTTGTTGCTACTTGGGAAAAAGAAAATATTAATTTTAATTAATTAGTCAATTAATTTTTTATTTATTTTTTCATAACTAATTTTATGGCTAATATTAAACATTTCTATTTTAGCTATGCTATTTTGGTAGATATTATTTTATAGGCATTTTTTTATTTTTTTTTTATTTATTATTTTTATAAACAGTTATTGTAGCTATGGTATTTTGCTAAAAATATGATTAACATTTAATTTCTTTTTTAAAATGTATTTATTTTTTTATTACTAATTTAATGGCTAATATTATATTTATGTTTGAGTTGTGTTATGGTATTTTGCAAGAAACTAATTACAATGTTTACTATATTTGTATTTAATTATTTTTCATAACTAATTTGCTTATATCAAGTTTATTTACTGTCTGTCTGTTTATTTATTTATTGCTATGTATTGCCAATCAAACAGTTTTATTATAGATATGTTGTAGTATTTTGCTAGAAACCATGATTACTATTTAATTCTTTTATTTTAATTGATTATTTTTTATGACAAGTGCTATAGCTAAAATCAATGCTGTTGCAGTTATGCTATGGTATTTGGTACAAGAAATTGTGGTTACCATAGTAAATCAGTGTGTTTTTCACCCAGCTGTAGTTAATAATTCCTGGTGTGTTTGAGGTGGAGGATCTCAGAGGTGAGGGACTGTCTTGCGCTAATGAAGGTCTCACTGACCTCTTTTACTGCATTAGCATCAGATCAATAACTGAAGAGCGTTTAGCGCCCACCGTTCCGATACATTTATCAAACCGCACACATTCCTTCATCAGCAAAGCCTCAATGTCAGATCGCAGAACAACATGTTGCTGCTCGGGGCTGCGCTGTGTGAAAGTGCCATCAGAACGGCTGTAAATCTGCCCGCTTTTGGGCCATATTTAATGTCACTGGGTACTTTTATTGTGTGTCCCAGGGCAAATACACATCCTGAAGGGCTAGTGTCAAAGTGCATGATCCATTTGTGTAGTTCCAGGCGCCAGACGTGAAAAACGGGCCAAAATGATGGATACCCTCATATGGGCAAATTCAGGCATAATGAAGTGCTGTAATACAAACATTTACATCTCGTAGATGTGGAGGATGTCTGTCCCGGAACGACAGACGAGAGGAGAAGGAAAGGGGGAGGTGAAGGTGTGCGTGAGAGAGCTACATCCTTGTGAAAGCCATGTCATGTAAAATCAATACGCCCGATCAATGCTTTATTAACAAGCCGACATCTTACTTCGGATTCCTGCACGCTACTTTGTCTTCAGCCATGCAAGATGGCATGTCAAATAGCATCACCACTGTCACACGATGACACGCATACGTGTGCGCCAAAACACAAGCGCTGTCTTGATATTGATCAGATCAAATTGATTGGATTGCCGCCCCCTACTACACTTAGATATAATTGTAGCACTTCATCATAAAGTCCCCCAATTATTTCCAGGAAGTTCCTGTCTAATATGCTCATCTTCTCCTCTCAGGCTGTCATCTCTCATTCTCTGCTTTAGTTCTTTAGTTGTTTCTCCCCGTTTCCGTCAGAGTTCAGCGGCGAACAGCGTGCTGACTAAGGGGAACAGACAGATTTGATCTCTCAAACAGGAAAAGCGCATTGATTCATACGGCCTCATCACTGACAACGACATTTACATTCATGTCTGATAATATTTTTATGCTGATGTTCTGCTTGCTTTCCTCTTGTGATCTTTTCTTCCTTCTGTGTCATTTTTTATGTTCATTCTAATATAGCCACAACCAATGGTATGCATTTGGGGGCGGGGCTATCTGTATGTCTGGGCCAATGGCAGATTAGTGTTCAGGAAACCTGTTTGAAATCAGTCACTATTATTTGTGCATTTCTGTTTGTTGATGTTAGTGACAGAAATTACACACATTTATGGTCAAGTTTATGTTATGGATGAGGGTACATTAAATCATATATCTACATTAAGTCATATATGTAATGCTTTTCCCCCTCATCTGGTCCAGTTATGTCATTTTGATTAAACGTTAGGTCAAAAAAAAAAAAAAAAATATATGCACAGATGAATTGTTCACTATCTATAACATGGATTTAGAAATTTTCAGAAAATTTCATGTTAACTTTAAAAAGCAGCTGCATTGCAACAACTTGACAACCATCGAAACAATCACAGCATTGTGTTGACGGTTTTTGCATTGGCAAATACTACTCACTATTAATTTAAAAATATTTTATGCAAAAAAAAAAAAGACGCCCTAGAGTGTGACACATTTGATATTTGTTGAAAATAATTTCCCATGCTTAAAGTCTAGTGTGACCACAATAGACCTCCATGCGCTCTTCTAAAGCTTGTTAAACACAATGCATGCGGTAGCAGGAAGTTGAGATTATGATTCATGCACTAGTATATGGAGCAGCTCTGTCTGATTTATAACCTGAGCACTTCATACTCAAAATTCCAATTTGAGAGGGAGGGAACATGTGTGTGTGCGGCATGTGTGAGTGTGAAAGAAAAGATTAATTACTATTTGTGGCCAGCAATTTCATGAGGCCAGCCCCGGCACAGCTGTGAAATGATAGCGCCCTACATCAGTTTGTAGTCAACCATTCACAGATTATTAAAGCTCCATAAGATGAAGTGTTCCTCCTGCCTGCTTTGCTTTAGCGCACGATGGTGGAGAGAGTGTGAGAAAGAGGGATAAATCTGAAGGGGTGCAATAGCCAGACATATGTCATCATCGCCCGTTGCCCATAAATCCAGTGGGTGCTTCAGGAAGCAGGACTGATGCAGACTTCACAGAGTTGACAGTCGCAATCGAGCGTGTGTGTGTGAGTTTGAACGAGCGAGCCTGTTTCATTCATAATGTATCAGCTAACTCCTTCAAATTTATCTGATCAATTATAGGCCTCGTTCTTTCAAATAGGAGAGGTGATAGATGTGGCTCTGACGGAGTATTGCACAGCACGTTATTACTTTTTATTCAAATGCTCAGACCTATCTGGAATAAAATGCATGATGGGTGCATACATTCTCAAGAGCGAATGTAATAACATTTATGATGAAAACACAAATCTGTTCATTTGTTTTGCCTGCGCTGGATGCTAACGGATGGCGTTTTCTTGCTTTGCGGTTTAGCTTTGAACGAACCAACTATTGACTACGGCTTCCAGAGACTGCAGAAGGTCATTCCCAGACATCCAGGTGATCCGGAGAGGTTGCCCAAGGTTAGTGATTCTGTGTGTGTGTCTGTGAAAGAGCTATTTATCATAGAAATGTCAAAATGGGAAACAATTCACTGGCTAGATGAGCAAGTGCATGCAATCGCTTTTGGCAAGTCATCACTATGCAATCCGGCGTGTTTGGATTCCGCCGGAATCGTGCAAACTTTCGGCACGTCGAAACGGTTCAATTAAGTATTTTTCCACCCCAGTAGGCAGTGGCGATTGTAATCTAAGCAGAGGCCTTTTTCAGATGTGTGATTATTTTGGTCTTGTTTTCCTTTCATTTTCCAAAGCTAGATCCAGTTTAATCTTTTGTTTACAGAGCTTTCCGTTAAAAGTCCTTGTCTTAGCAGGTTAATAAATGAGTTCCGCGCACATTAATATGGGCAAGCCCTCTCTCTGGGCTTTTTAGCTTCATTTATTTATTTTTCCCCCCACTTAAATTCCACAAACCATGCAGTTTGCCTGCAGTTCCCATGTGGTCGACACGTATCACAGTTCTGTTGTTTTGATGTGTGACATGAAAGACAAAGCATGCCTGTTGGACCTTTTCTATTTCCTATTCTTTGATTCGTCCCTCTTTTTTTTTTTGCTCATTTAGCTTTGATAGGATCTATGACTTGTGCCCGGCTAATAGAAAACGTGCTAATTTCCCATCTGAGAGCAGCGCGGCGCCGAGGGCTTTTCTTAATAATATGTTAAGAGATTATTTTGTACCCTGTTCGTGGGTGCTCAGCGAGAGCTGACCACCACGGAGGCCTAATAACAGATATTATACAAATATCTATTAAAGCCCAGCATGGGAACAGCCACTATCATTAACTTCCGCTGAACAGCTCTGGAATGGCGTTGTCTCAGCGCTAGTGTCCCGCAGATATGCACCAAACTAAGAACCCATAAGACTTTGCCCTGCGCCACATGATGTTTCAATTACACTTGGCTCTCTGTCTCTGTGGAGGCCAATATCTGGACAGGAAATATCATTCCAGTAAATGCTTTAAACTATCCATTATCCAAAAAAAAAAAAAAAAAAAAACATTTTAAAGCCATTCTGCTTGAGCATTTCTGAAGCTGGAAAAAAATATATTTATTTATTTATGTATTTATTTATTTAATTTTATTATTACTGTTATACTTCATAGATTTTATTATATTAAAATAAGAAAAATACAATAGCATGCAATTAAAAAATGATGGAAATGTTTTTTTCCCCTGATGTTCATGCAATTTCACACATCTCAATTTATTTGTATATTTTATCATATCAAAAGAAGAAGATACAATAGCAACAATAACAAAAAAAGTGACTGATATGGCATTTTTTCTTAAGTGCATGTGATTGAATGCCTTTTTTTCTTAAAATACTTTTATCATTATTTTTATTATTATTTGTATATTATATTAAAAGAAGAAAAACCCAACAGCATCAATAACAAAAAATAAATGGAAATGGCTTTTTTCTTTACTCAAGTGCATGCAATTTCACTCATCTCTAATTCAGGTAAACCCTCTGCACAGGGCCATCACACCAGAGCAGTTCCAATAAACAACATAAATATTTGATTTTGGCTTCTAATGGACCCAAATGTGAGTTCAGCAGCATGTAAATGAAAGTGCCAAGTGATTCATCATAGTTACCGCAGCCGTCTGCACCTCTATCGTGTTCGAGGGTCACAGCCAGCTCCACGCAAAGCAGCAATTGACCCTTACACATATTCTCAATAAGAGACAGAGCGTCTGGGAGGAGCGGCTGCATTCGATGTTACGGGCGGGAGACAGACCGTCGTAATAAGAGGTTTCGGGGGGAGGGATGTACACAGTGTGTTAGCAATAAGGTAAAGCCATCACACTCGTGCTCGCCTGCTCGACTCCGTTGTAGAGTTGATAATACGCCCCTGATATCGATTCCTGGATTGTTTTTTTTTTCCTTTTCCTTTTCCTTCCTTCTTTTCAGGCAGGGATCTACAATGCACAAGGTCTGATGGGGGATCTTAGCCCGACAGAAAGCCGATATGGCGTGCATGTATTGCTTTGGACATGCAACTACTAAATATTAACATTAAATCACAAGTATTTCTCAATTGTTTTACTTTTTATAGTACCAATACTTTAGAAATCCCTAACATATTCATACTACGAGTTGCCCGGAACTGCAGTTTACCTCCCTAATTTTAGATCAAATCAAAATTTGCAGCTCGATCCAAGGGGAGGGGCGTCCAATGAACGCGTTTATATACGAAGATGGCGAGAGAGAGTAAAAAGCAATATGTGAAGTCACTCATGTGATGAGGCAGGAGATTGCTAAAGGGACCTTCCAATCCTCTTTCTTTTAAGTCCTTGTTTGAAATCAGTGTCATTCATTTGTCTCGATATAAGGCTGAGACAAACACTGGAATGAAAATCTGATCAGGCTCCATACGTTCGCTTACGTGCCATCAAATAATCTTTATTGCGAATCATATAGTGGTAACCTGTCGGCTGTAGACTCGCATTCATCAGTTCCATTAGCCTCTTTGCGTCCTGTTTCAGCTGGCAAACACCAATCTATTCCGCTTCCCGTTCAATCTAATATCCAAGAAAAAATTATTAGAAATGCATTCATGTTGAGCAATTACCCATGCATTAAAATTCATCTTCTCTCTCTTGGCTTTTGCGAGGTAGCTACACGTATCGGACCCGCACTTCTCAATGTATTCATCACCTCAGGCAAGAACTAACAGAATAATTGCTTTACAATTTTATAATGACATTAGCACCTCCAGCCCCTCACCTCACTTGGCTTCTTTAACAGTGGTGATATATACCACTCACGATATTCAAGAGTGATAATAACAAGTTTTCCATTTAAACGGTTCTCATCCACCGGCGGAACAATGAGCTCTTGTAATAATAAGCCTTCGCATTTGTCACGAAACAAGCCCTGGGATCGTTTCGGGCTTAAATAGTTCCCGGTCTAACCTGGAATCTCGTCTCGATGTGGAAAAAGAAGAGGAGTCAATTACACTTAACGCTGCCGCTCTGAAATTTACATGGAAATGCTTTTCGAACACCGCTCACCGCTAATCATATTCTCAGCGTGAGGCCGCGAGGATGAGAGGGGCATGCTGGAACAAAACAAACTTATTCACAGCCTCCTCCGCCGATTGGCCGACGTGTTCACCACGCATAGGCTCCCACTTCAACGCTCGCTGCTAAATCTGGTTCATTAGGAAACGCACCTCATGGCAAATGACAGATTAGAGTTGAGGGTATGCGTCGTTTGCTTAAACTATCCTTACGCCTCCTCCTCCTCTCGGCCGCCATATGGACGAGAAGTTCAAGTAGGTGTCGGCCGGGGCGAGGTTTCGGCGACGTTAATTGCGATAATCGTCGGGTGAAATTGGGAGGCATGTAAGACGTCTTGCGATATGATGACTGAGATGATGAGTAATTATTAGCGGCTCAGAAAAACACTTAATCTTGCTTAGAGAGAGCCGAGAGCTGGACTAGGACAGCTGGGCCTTTCATTGACAATACCTGCTGAATGACAAGTGTAATTCTTTATTTGTATGCAAACTAGACGCATGCAACATGAAACACAGCCCCCAATTTCAGAAGTAAATGCCCATTTGAAGCAGTCATCTGGTTAGGCTCAGGTTTGGAGTGCGTCTCTATAAAATGCACAGGTCTGTGATTAATCTTGATAAATAAGGATCCAACATGGCGCTTTTGCATGGGAATGAAATAGCCATCGAGCCATGATGAAGGCGCTCAGCGCTTCGCACCCACAAGGACAACACCGTGAATGTGGTTACACTCAAACGCGACCTGCAAATCGATAAAAAGCAAGTCAGCAAGTTCAAGACATGCTAAAATGCGACAACAATATAATGTAAATTCCCAAAAAGTAGCTCTTGGAAGAGGAAAATAAGCGGCAACCTGTGCGAAACGCTTTGGAGTCCCTGCCGCACGCACCTCGTTGGCAGCTTAGGTGTGATTTTTGAAGGGAAAATAAGCGGCAGGTTAATCCTTGTTGTGTTATAAGTCGGGGAAAAGCTTGCAGACGGGGATAAGCGAGAGTTTCCAGCGTCCGTGTCCCAGGGCACAGCCTCTCAGCCCGCTCTGGAGAGGAAGTCGTTTATGAAGTCCTTTACAACAGCCAGAGAAAGAGGGTTAATTGAAAAATTTCCTAATGTCATTATGAAAGAACTAGATTAACCCGAGCTAATTCACTTTATTGTCCTGAAGAAAGAGGAATGGGCATTGAACTCTTCTGCAAATTTGGGGCATGAATTAGGGGTGAGATGTTGTCTTTGAGGACTCTGCCAGTTTAATTAAGATATGGAAAATGACTCATTGTTCTTCTGAGCTAAAGTGCGTGGAATTAGCAGGCGAACGCGGCGTCTGTGTTTGACTCGGTGCGGCATGCTAGTGTTTGTTTGTTTAATACCCACAAGGCCACGTCGTTGAAATGCAAGTCCTTATGTTGACTCATTTAGCTTAAGTTACACACCACTTCACTAGTCTAACTAAGTCAAATGAAATGTGACTAAGAAATAAAAGAATGCATTTGATAATATATAATTAAAAACGTTTTATTTCCGCTCGTCAGCTTGTGTATTTTTTCCCAACCAGAGATAAAGAGCTTATAATTTACCCAGACCCACATGCACTCTTATTGTTCATGTGCAATGTACTGGCTGATGGTGTTTATACGTCTTTATGACTGATTATGTTGCATTCTGGGTGTATATTGCAGGAGGTGTTGCTAAAGAGAGCCGCTGACCTTGTGGAAGCGCTGTACGGGATGCCACACAACAACCAGGTACAAACTCAAGCTAATGAAGCACCTTTTCTCTTCCTTTGCACGGTGGATGTAATTAAATCAGCATTGGTCTCCTTTTGCTACATTCCTGTATGTTTCAAAGCTAGCTGGGGGCCTTTGTACTGTAGCCGGGTGAAAGCTTGTTTTTTTTTTCTTTTCTTCTGCTTTTTCGCAATTTAATTCCTGGCTACGGCTCTTGGTGCAAAGTGACGAGTTAATCACTCAAAACACATGCGCACAGCCATATACAGGCTTATTTAAATGGGAGGATAACCTTGAACTTGGCCCTAAAAGGTGCACTTCTGGAATATATTCTACAGAGCGGTCCAGCTATGCTTGAGAGGTCTAATACATATTCAGAAGAAATGATCCATTACATTATTTTCCCCCAGTCGAGTAGCACAGAGGTGAAGACACTGCAGTACAACTACAGTGAAACAAATGCAAATGTCCTGTCATTTATGTTTACCTACAGACAGAAAATCCATATTTATATATGTGTGTGTGTGTGTTTTAGAAATGACGCCTACTGAGTTCAGATCTCTGGCCTCAAGTTCTTATAAAAACAAACCGATAACTCTCCTTTCCCTGTTTCTGTTTGGTAGGAGATCATCCTGAAGAGGGCCGCAGATATTGCAGAGGCTCTGTACAGCGTCCCACGTAACCACAACCAGATCCCGTCCCTTGCCAACACGGCTTCTCACGGCGGAATGATGGGAGTCAACTCTTTCGGCGGTCAGCTCGCCGTCAACGTCTCAGAGACCTCACAAGGTATGTGGCATGAAGATTAGCATGTAGATTACAATGAACCCTGTGGTTAAAAGCTTAAACCAGACTAAGGTGGTTTACTGGCCAAACTGGAGGCTTGTCAGTCTAAGAGATAACCACCAAAGCCCCTCCAGACAGCCTAACCACTAACCACTTTAGTTGTTCATCTGCGAATATCAAAATGAGTTATACACATTTCTATAAAAATGCTTGCAACGATTAGCGAACATTAGTGAGCTGCTAGCAGCATGAATCATGGCACAGGCCGGCTGCAGCGTTATCTTTCCTGGCTGTGTATAGCATAGATCCCAGGAGGTGCCTGACCCTGTCCCCATCTCTCTGCTGCCAGCCTGCCAGAACACGCAGCGCTATCTCACACACTGCATTTAGCCAGTGTACTGATAATAGGTTTACACCTGTTCCATTGTTGCCTCCACTCAGGTCAGGACAGGGAAAAATCACACTGGAATACATGCTGGGACGCTGAATATCCTCCTTACATACATGGAGGTGAATTTAACGCACATCTGTGTGGACCGGCCACGTTAACACATTGGGCCATACTCATGAAACCCAAGTAAAATGCATTACTGTGCAAACCGTATGGGGGGGGGGAATTGTCTAGGCATGGCATGACTGTAGGAACTGTTTTCAAAGAATTGTTTAATTTATTTACATTTGATATATATATGTATTTGCTAATAAATAGTCTAAAAATAACCTTTGAAACTGATGATGGCACCTACCTCAAGAATTATATAGATTCCAAACACTGTGGCAGATTTTGACCGATGTCTTTCCGTCCGCAGTGGGCTATAGTCGCAACACGAGCAGTGTGTCGCCTCGCGGTTACGTGCCCAGCAGCACCCCGCAGCAGTCCAACTACAACACAGTCAGCAACAGCATGAATGGTTATGGCAACACGGGAATGCCCAACCTGGGTGTGCCCAGCTCACCGGGCTTCTTGAACGGTTCCTCTGCAAACTCTCCCTACGGCAGTAAGTATCAAGGTAATGACGAGCCCCCCGCTCTCTCTGTCCCCCACCTGTGCTTCCCTTTCCTTTTGACACTCCTCTGTTGTTGTTCTGTTGGTTGTTTGTTGGTTTGTTTTGTTACCTTTTGGGAATGTGTGCTACTGGATAAAAGGAGGGGTGACTCTGGAGGCTGAACAACCGAGACATTTAACGAATCCGACCAATCAAAGCAGCTGTTGAAAAGCAAAAGCAATTGCAATTATAAAGCAGGCCACCAAAACAGCACCCAAAATCTCTAAAAAAAATAAATAAATAATGTTTTCGGCAAAATGACCCAGTCAGAGTCGATAAGAACGCCTATTATCCAGAAAGTGGCCAAGGCAGGACATCTCATATCCCATTCCAACTCCATTTACCTGATGATTTGCTTGTTTGTTTTGGTCCCCCCAAAAAAGACCCGCAACCCAAATTTTCCCCATATCCTCATGACCATTTCTCCCTGATTTGTTTTCATTCCATGAATATGATTTGAAAAAGAGGCGAGGCCCGGCTCTCTTGACTCTTCGTCTGTAAGAAGTGAACTCTCTCTGAGTGGTGACTATGTCTGCTTTGTTGCAGTAGTTCCGTCGAGCCCTACCATGGCAGCCTCTTCGGTCAGCCTCTCTTCAAACTGTAGCAGTACACACGGCATTTTCTCATTCTCACCTGCCAATGTCATCTCTGCAGTGAAACAAAAAAGCGCCTTTGCTCCAGTTGTCAGGCCCCAAGCATCTCCACCTCCTTCTTGCACCAGTGCAAATGGCAATGGACTTCAAGGTGAGAGCCGACTCCCTGCTTTTAGAATGCCCCGCAGTTGCCTCACCTGTTGGGTCGCATTATTGCACTCTGGTACCCAGACGCCACCCATCCGCCATCCCCGCCGCCGCTTAACAAACACGGCCTCCCGCCCGCATCAATTATGCATGTGCTCGTGGATGGACGGATGGATGGACGGATGAGTGGTCGGATAAGTGCAAGAACGCATTATGCATGCGGGCATGTAGAATGCATGTACATGTGTGGGTGTGTTTATTGATTTATTTATCTTTCATTAATGATTGAGCAAAGTTAAGTGTCTCGTGAGGTTTCGTACTCGAGTGGCTGGGAACGCTGTAATTCGGTAACATCTTGTGGAAACGAAATCGACGCTGCCGCTCCATGATTCACCGGCTCTTTTGCATTCAAACTGAGCTCGACGTACGTCTCCATGTTCTCTTTACATTGGCGGTACACGGCCCCCTCATCCTCGAGTTAAAAATTTATGTTTCTTACAATAGTAGCGCAAATGACGGATCCGAAAGGGCAGAAATGTTAACGCCTCGCCGTCGTCGCTCATCCGACATCGAATAACATCGCCGGAGAGGAATTTAACAGCAGAAGAAGTGATTATAACCCAGGTTGAATGTGATTATAAGAAGAAAGAGCGAGAGGGAAGGAGCTCACCGTATTCTCGGCAGGGCGGCATCGTTCGGCAAATTAAAGACTAACTCTGGCTGTTTAGTGCGCTTGTATTTGCTCTCCGTCAAGGCCCAGTTGTTTGCTTTGAAAACATGTTTTAGCCATAGTGTGTGCAAGCGAGATTAATAATGTTAGACCTAATGAACTGAGAAATTAAAGTTCATGCCGCTACATGCATCTACTTATTAATATGTGGTTTGCAGAAATTAATGAGGAATGCCACAACATCAGATGCCTTGGCAAACTTAAAAGCACTCCAAGCATGACTCTACAAATAAGTTGAAAGCGGCAAAAGAGCTTTCCTCCCGTTTGCCCTCCCCTGGCACTTCACTAGACACCTAATTGTGGAAATGAGCGAGTGCATCAATCTCCACGTTCGGGGTGGGCGTGCGACGACCTAGTCCGGCCTTCTTTAGATGTCACGATAAGGAGAGACTTGGGGGGGAGAAATACGGTCTGACAGAAGAATGCAAATGGTTTTCCAGCATCCACTCGGCTCCGGTAATGGCAGGAGGGAGCGAGGCGAAGATTTCAATTTGGGCAAAGCCGAGGGGTGTCTGGTTGCTGACTGAGGAGGGGAGACCGCAGGTCTACGTGACGTTAGCAGAAGTGACCGTGTTGTTTCTCGGCTGTCAGCAGGGACCCTCTCCTGGGAGTCTGGCCCACTGTTTGCCATTAACAAAACGCTAAGAGAAATATCACACATGTGGGAGCCAGGATGCTTTCTCCTCAAAATGTCAGAAAGCTCCTCTTTCAAAAAGTGAAGTCCTTCCAGCACGTCTTGTCGGTGAAGCACATTTCACTCAATCACTCCCAACCCTCCCCCGTCGGCCCCCGACAGCAACAGCCTCCATTTTACAAACATCCCCAGCGCCTTTCGAGTCGAGTATTTTGTGAAATGCGAGTGACATACTTACTGCTGTGTTCTTTTTTGTCTTCCGCGAGGCATCTCGGGACCTCCCGTGCTAAAATTGTTTCTCTTTCTCTTGCAGCTATGTCCGGACTGGTGGTCCCACCCATGTAAATTGCACTCCCTTCCCTTGTAAAGCAGCCGTCTCCTCACCGGGATGAAGCATAGTACGTTATGCGGAGGATCCTCCTCGAAGTCGTCATTCGTCATGAAGTTAATCAGCAGCTAATTCTGTTATTCAGAGGAAAAAGACACTTTGCTTTATTCGAAATTGACATGCAAGCGACTTCACCGTTTATTGACTGAATCTTGTCATATTTTCACAATCTCGAAGGGGAAAAAAAGAACAAAACGTACCTATTTTGTATAAACATTTCTGGTTTAATCTTGGCTATGTCTAGTTCTTGCTATGTGTGGGAAAGAAACATTGTGGATATGCCATTTGATGAAAACACTGATAAAAAAAAAATAAAAATGTGTAAGAATGTTTCTCTTTCACCGATGTGCTGCCGCTGCACATCTTCATAATGTGAATTCATTTTCCTTTTTTATTATTATTAATTTAGTTTTTTTGTTGTTTATCATTTTGCTTGTTTTTTTTATTTTATTTTTTTTGATTGTGCTAATAAAAAGGGGGCCAATATATACAGAGCCAATAAACTGGAAATAATATAAGATATATGATTTATAAATCAAAAAGAAAGGCAAGGAAGAGCGAACGGTGCGAGGAACCGGCAGAGGAGATCTTATCGTTCAGTTCGTTCGGCGGAAATGAACTTTGTAACTTATTGTAGGTAGAAGTTGTAACTTTGATATTGCAAAAAAAATCTTATCTTGCCTTCAACAAGCACACTAACAGAGACGAAGCGCTACTGTCTGTTGGTAAAAAAAAAAAAAGAAAAAAA